CTCTCTCTCTCTCTCTCTCTCTCTCATCCCTCTATCAAAACTGGAACTAACTTTCTATAAATAAACTAAAATTAATGTTTCTTAAAGACTAGCAATGAGTTCAATACACAAACTAAGAATTTTATTGTATAACTTTATAAATAATTTAGATTAAACCCTATAAAGGAAACTATTATTTGACTATTTAATTAAAAAGTGATGACCAAAGGATATTATAAAGTTTATTATTTTGAAATTATAAGTAACGAGAGAGAGAGAGAGAGAGAGAGAGAGAGAGTTGTTTGAAGTAATTCTTGTTATCATTAATTCAATCAAAGCCTTAAGAAAATATCGCTTAAAAGCTTAAAAATAAAATATGAAATTTAATTATTAAACGCAAAACATATAGAATAATGAGACGGATATTCTGCTTATTAGTCACCGAAACGTTAATTAAATTGATAAAAATATCCCAAAACTTATGACTGATTCAGCGTTAATATCAAATTTTTATTCTTAATTATTTAAACAAAATTATTATTAATATTTGTAATAATTGGGAAAATTTTGCAGATTTAAGCAGTACTTTATAATTGGTTTTGTTTTATTTTGAAAATATCTTTTCTTATTAATTATTAAAACTTCAAAACTTTTAATTCAAGGCTTTTAAATTTAAATTTGTTATTTATGCAGAATTCAATAAAATTGTTTGTTTTGATTTTAAATTTAAGTTTATCATAGCATATCAGATTTATCAGTATTTTTTATTTAGATACCTTGCTAATTCTAAGTAATAATGTAATCACTAATCAGTTTGATCGTAAAAACAACACTCGATTGTGTGTGCATTGAGTTTATAATGAAATTAATTGATGTTTTGTTTGATGTCATGAGTGTCTCATACCGTGACTGAAGATAAAATTAGCCAAATATAGGTCCAGTTCCCGGACGGATACGTTGATGTGGTAGGGGTTGACACATAGGCTCGGGTGAAGGCATTCAATTGATTTCTCCAGGCGCTCGCCATCCGTCGACTCCAGTGGTATGGCTTTGAATAGTATAACCATAACTAAGTCGAGACGCCATACCTTTTATGGGATCGGGATTTGGTGTTGGAGTGATGGGATAGGGATGAGAGAAATATAAGAAAAAATTACAGTTATGTGAAAAATTAACACAAATTTACGTCTGTATTAATAATTATATTCTGAGCTCTATTTAAAGTGTTGAGCAAAAAAATGTAATTCAAAACAAAAATGTATTTTAAATTCAAACACAAGTAGTATTTAAAATAATTATTTTTAGGAAACTTTTTAGTTCTTGATAAGCTCTCTCTCTCTCTCTCTCTTTCTCTCTCTCTCGCTCTCTCTCTCTCTCTCTAACTTCAAAAATAACTCATCACTGCGTTTGACGACAATTTTTTAGTTACTTTTAAAAAACTTTCTAAAAGAAAACTTTTTGAAAGAAATATGTCTTAAATACAATATATGTGACAAAATTAGAAATAAAAACAAATTTTCCATTTGATTCTCTCGCATACAATCACATAAAAAAGTGTTTTATCTAAAAAACACCGATAGACACAGTCTTAGAAATAGTATATATTAGAAAGAAAAACTAATCAAAAACTAAAATTATTTGTTATAATAATAATGGGGGTGAATATGGTATGAAGAGATGCAATGGTGAGCGCCTACCTTATCGGCCTGTCGTAAGCAATCGATTCTCCGCATTTTGCCCTTTTGATCCGGATTACTGAGCACACAATTGACACGTTTCTTACCAGTGATTCCCAACACGAAGTCCTCTCTGCACTCCTGAGTGATGTCTTTCCGCAATTTGCCCAATAGACGAGACGCCCATTTCTGCTTCACTTCCAGTCTCTCATTCTTAGAGGTATGGGATGTAAGGCATAAGACAAAGATGAGTACATGAAGAAATTGTTTTTAGGACTAGCGCTTCATCCGAGTTTTTAGGAGTTTAGATAAAGTTTTTTTTAATTTATTGCTAATATACTTTGTATGTGATGTAAAAAGTGTTAGTTTTTTGTGTTGTTTATATCAAGCAAAATGTTATTTTTCTAATGTCTTGAAAAGTTTTGGTTTCTATTTTTAATCCTATAGTAGAAAGTGAAATGTTTTTAAAAATGTTTTATAGGTTTATATTTAATAATATTATAAATGTTAAAACAGATACAAACACTTTACTTGAATAAAATTAAAGGATTTTATAAAATATGATTTAAATTTTGATAAAACCTATGATTTGTCATAAATCGAGGGAAAAGTTGTACCAATGTTTTCAAACTAAATAATTTATTTATGTTTTAAATGGGAAATTCTTAGAAATTCTTCACATTATTGTTAAGTTTGAGAAAAAAGTGATTGAAAACACTTTTTATGTTTAACTTTCAATCAATTAAAGCGTAACTTATAATTAAATTAAACTGAAAAAAAGTTTTTGGACTTTTTATTTGCAGTATTTTGTTAAACAAGTGTAATTAAATCATAGGCTATTGGACTAAAAATAATAGAAATTTCTTTTAGTGACACTTCTATACATGTGTTCATCTGATAGCTCACAAGTCAGTAGGAATGACATCAACGGTAAGAAAAGTGGTGACAAAATAAATACTATTTTTTGTATTTATTTTATTTATGAGATATTAATATGAGATTAAATCCTAAATATTTGACTTATATTTATGTTGACTTGAAGTGAATTAGGTATTGAGTTTTATATGATAAGAGCACTAATTGGTAATGAATGATATGTAATGAAATATGTAATGAATGGTTAGCTAACCTGTAGTTCCTCTTTACACCTGCGCTCCTCATCCAAAGTCATCCGTTTCTCGTGTTTCTTGAAGTACTTCCGTTTGGCCGCCTGTAGGTTGAACCACGTGTACGAAAAGGACTTGACCTGAGGCAACAGTGCCTCGATAAATGGATGAAATTCATCCTGCACGTTCAATACAAGCAATATAATTAGCTATATCATTTATAATCAACTAGATTCTTTGATTATTCTTATACAGAATTATTCTGTAATATACTAATATTAAGGTATTGAATATGTTTTAATTCATAACAAGTCAGATTGATCTTTACTTTTTTACAGTGAGTGATAATATAATTTTTATCATATATTTAAATATCAATTGTTAAGTGTAGATGATCTGTAAATGAAAGTAATAGTCTTTGACCTCTAAAAATAACATATACAATGTTGTCTACATTTGTTTTATTATTACATAAGTGTTATAAAAGTTATTGGCAACAAAATACTAAACAAATACCGAATTTATTATAATTTAAACACAAAAACAGTGAAGTTGTGAATGAAAATGCGAAAGTTTTTCTGGCGATTAGACATTAGTTTTGGGAAACGCTTTACAAACGAAAGGCTTTTTTCAAACCATTTTCATTCATTTAGGGCTTAAATATTGGCTACAATTCAATTGAAAAGCAAAAGTTTATATGTATTTCTCGGTAGTGTGTGTTTTGTCTGCATTTCTATATGCATTGGATAGTAAACCTGCGAAAAAGTAATACATTATATTATAAACAGCATATTTTGAACTCAATTCACAATTCAAGAGCACATGGATGTCTCCGGCGTACGACTCCATGTGGGAAGTACTGGATTGCAACCAATTAATAGTAATTAGCTTTAATTTTTTGGCNAAGTACTGGATTGCAACCAATTAATAGTAATTAGCTTTAATTTTTTGGCCATAAAATTGTAAACATTGGCACAAATGAAATAAATAGTAGAATATATTATGTTTTCAGGTTTATGTTTAACAACAAATTATTGATCTCTTTATAATAGTAAACGTTTCCAAATTTCAGTCCATTTAGCACTTAATCTCATGCCATTGAGCTCATAAATTCACTAATGACCTGGATGATTTGTTAATTAGCCAAAAATAATTGTTTGTGATTTAATATTATTAAACTAAAAATATTTATAACATATTCTTTGAAAAACAATGAGTTATATAATAACTTTAAACTTTAATTCGTAATTGAATTTAAAATCCTAAGTTTACTTTAAAGGCTACTATTTAATATGTTGATATACTGTAATAGTATCATAATTACTATTATTAAAAAAGAAATTATTAATCTGTTATCAATTATACCTATAATTATTTTAATAAATTAAATACATGTAAGTGTCTACAGTATCAATAGATGTTTGAACAATGCATTCAAGGCCTAAGAATATATAGTTAAATGTGTGGGAGTCTACAATTAATTTACAAAACTCCTTATTAGCATAATAAATAAAATTACTTTAATTGCTTTAAAGCCAATTAAATTATTCACAAAATTATGTAATAATATATTAAAATTAATGTTTAATAAATCAATATTTTTATAATAGATCAAGTACTTTATAAGCATATGCATTTTTACAGTGCTGTATAATTAATTGAAATCTAATTGAATAAATGATATATTAATTTAATATTGTATTTAAAGTTTTGTAGTTTGTTTTAAAAGTTTATAAAGTTTTAAATATTTAAAGAATTGAATATTACTGTGGTCATATGCAAATACTGCACATTATATTATTACAATCTAATTAGATAATTTAATACAGTATTACAATTAGCCAATATTCTATTTACTAACAAATATTTTTGTTATTTTTTTAAAACTACTCTCTCTTTCCGTAAATACATATTTCAGATACAAATGCATTGTTATTATCACAAAAACCTGCAAAAGTATTTCAATTGTATAATCAGTTTTGTTGCGAAAATCATTGATAACAAGATATGATTTGAAATCCCTTTGAAATAAAATTCTGTAATAAAATATTTTGAATGATAATAAAATTCTGGTTTCCATTTTTATAATAATTATTACTAATCAGTTTTGTTGCGAAAATCATTGATAACAAGATATGATTTGAAATCCCTTTGAAATAAAATTCTGTAATAAAATATTTTGAATGATAATAAAATTCTGGTTTCCATTTTTATAATAATTATTACATTTTATTTGTCTGTAAAACTAATTCATAACTTCCAGGATATAAGCAATGAATAGAGGAATTCTGTCATACATTTTGTTATTCATTAAATGTATGACTTTTAATATGCATTCAATAATAACACAGATATGTATTTATTATTAATGATATGATATACTGAATGCAAGCTATTATTAAATGCAGTCCGTCAAAACTTATTTTTGTTGTGATTTTTAATCCATTATATTATTTAAAATATGTGCTATTAAACCTATTTAAACCTATTAATGATTTATGAAACCTATTTATGAAACACAATTTAAATAATTCTAATAATTACCTAGTATGAATTATGCAATAAATATTGTTATGTAAATGTTAACATTTAAATTAATATTAACTAATTCATTCTAATCGTTTACTTTAATTTGTAGGTTTAAAATATATTTTCCATAGATATAATCCATAGGTACTGGATTATTAAAAGTTATTTTGTTAAAATAAATTTAATTTCAACTTCTTATATAGCTTATAAAGGACATGTTGTTAATAAGTATGCAACTTATTATAAATATACAGATTGTTCTGTACTAATGTATTGATCTTTCTTACAATATTTCTAATTTGTAAATAAAATACAGTATTATTTAAGTGACAAGTATAATGATTAATTACTACAAATAATAATTTGGATCATCAAGTGAAATATAGATTAAAGGAACAAGCGACAATAATATAAAATGCAGTATATTCTTGATATTGTCTACGCGTGTCTATCTGTACAAAGAATTATATTTAATGAATATATTTTGACATATACTGTGATAATAGGAAGAATTATAATAGCATTTCAATTACAATTTTGTAATTTTAATGAATTGCAACAGTAATTAAGAGAAATAGGAGAAAGCCCATGTATGATATGCAACACAATATCTTAATCATTATGTTTATATACTAACATGTAAGTATACAATATTATATTTAATGGAAAAATTTAAACATAAACGTCAAGCAAATAGATTATATAATAAAGCACATTTTGTACTCAAAAATATAAACTGCATTCCAATGAAATTATATTAATTTATGTATAGATTATTATCATTTTAGACTCAGAAATTGGAATTTAAAAAATATGAATGAGTTTATTCTTAACATTTAGTAAAGAATTTTATAGAATATTTTTAAAAGTATAATCAATCATTGATCACTGAAATCAGTTATATGTTCTGGAAGATTTAGATTCTTGTATGATTTTCATGTAATTTTTTGTGTATACTACACTATATGAAATCAACAATATTAAACCCGTTGATTTTAATTTATCTATCACTTATTCTTAAAGTAATAAATGAAGTAATTTTTCAAAGTGTATTATAAAATAACAAAATAATTAAAATAGCATTAAAATAAAGAGGTTTCAAGTAAATATATTTTTAAGTGCATCGAAATGTATATGTAAAATGAGCTAAATATATATTCAATAATCATATTTCAAAATAAGGATTTTGTGTATTATTTAGAGCATTCACGGAGTAGAATAAAATATAAAAAGATTTACTTTAAAATGTGTCCTGGTTCTGTTAATACAACTATCCCTAAACAATCTAGCACTACAAACAATTAAATGAATTGAGTAATTAGATAAATTTAAGATAGCTATAGAATATTCGTGTCAAAGAATTGCTATAAAGATAAAGTAAAATATAAAGCTACATACTGTAGTGTATTGTATATTGAGTAAATAAATTTATTATTAAATACTATTTGTACACAAATAGCAAAAAAAATGCGAAAATACTTCCCGAACGACACAAACGAATACAAGAATAGAGATATTTATTAATACATGAGTTGTCTCAGGAATATGGGAAGGGATGGGATGGGAGTGATTGGCACTTACGAGGCATTCATTGCTTGCGATGTTATAAAAGAGTTTGAATTTAGATGTGTCTTAAAGTTAGTAACAAAAAATGCGTTTACAATGATTTCTATTCATAGGTCCCGACAAACATTGAATTTGTTTAATGAAAAAGCGTTACACT